CACACACAAACACTTAACAGAGACACATCCCCTCTCCAGGACCAATAACACTGTCAAACTGACCAGGGGAATTCAGAGAAGCATAGATCAATCCAGCTCTTATCCCAAATAACAACTTAAAACTGTTTGACCAACACAAGGAATATTAAAACATTCATGCTAAAAAGATAAAATAACAAAAACAAATGAAAGCTACAGACAAAAGTTCATTTTCTCCAACAAAACATTCATTTCTGTAGTTTACTGCTACCAGCAAGCAGAAATATTTCTTCTCCCGATGATGGCCATTTTGGCCGAAACTAGTCGAGGACTCTAAATGAAACAATAATAATAAAACGAAAGAATATTAATCTACAACCCAGTGTGTCTGAAGATTTTAATTTTATAATATTTTTTTATTGTTCATATATATATATATATATATATATATATATATATATATATATATAATTTTTTTTCATATCGACAAAACAATGTACTCACTACAAAGATGCAACTTCGTTTTGGTGCATTTAATTAAATCCTAATTTAATTAAATAATTTCGAATACTTCTTAAAAAATAACGCTAACACCATTTATATAAATCCTAATTCCAATCACCCAGCGCCGGTTATTAAGCATATCCCATCATCTATTGAACGCCGTATCATCCACCACTCTTTTTGAAAAGCAATATTCGATAAATACGAAATTGTTTATAACAAAATCCTTATCGATAGCAGTTACAGATTTTCCAAAATTAAATATAGGGAAAATTACTCCAGAAAAAAAAAGATTAGAGGAAGGAGAATAATTTGATATACACCTCCCTTCAACAAATTAGTCCGTACCGAATTGGAACAAATTTTAAATCTAATTAACAAACACTTGAACTAAGAATAGTAAATTAAGTCAAATCTTAAAACGCGATACCCTAAAAATTAGTTATAGCTGTTCTAGGAATCTAGATAAAATTATTACATCACACAGCAATAGAATACTGAAATTTTATAATGAGAATAAACGAAACCCAAACACAAATTGTAATATACCCCAAGTAACAAAGCAATGTAATTGCAGAATCCCTGATCAATGTCTATTATCAAAAAGGTGCTTAACGAAACTCATTGTATATATATGTTATATCTCATCAAATGAGAAACCCAGGGATATTAAATTTTTATGTGTCCTCAACTAGAAGATCTTTTAAGGATCGATATTAGAATCCCATATCCTCTTTCACCAATGCAGGCAAACACAATATGACGTCGCTTTCTAAATATTTTTAGAAACTATAGAAGGAAGGAAAATCACCTAAGGTTAAATGGAAAATCCTAAAACGAAAAAAGAACTTTCAAATCTTTGAACGAACCTTGTTGTTTATATTTGCAGGAAAAAATATGTATTATTGAATTTTTGAACAACACCCAGTTATTAAATCAAAGATTTGAAACCGCTGATTTTTGTAGGCATATTAAAGATCTAACCTGACAATCTTACTAAACTATCAAATCCATAACTCTAAAAGTTTAAAATTATAACTCACCTCATTTGATATACTTTTTACCCTCTCATATACCTTTCTACTAATCTATCTTAGATTAGGATACTTAAAATGATTTTGCGCATATATAATACTAGTAATATTTTCAGATAAATTGATTTACATCCATACTTATTCTACACGTTATACAGTGGTTAGGACGGGTTCGGCGGTCCCGGATATTCTGGAAACGACGCAGTATGATAATTGAGAAAATTTTTGAGGCGACATCGAGCAAACTGATGCCTCTATAGTTGCGACAATCGCGACGGTCGCCTTTTTTTGTAAAAGGGTAGGAGAATTGCATCACTCCAGTCCTGAGGTAGTTGCTCAGAACGCCATACAGCGTCGAGCATTGGGTGTAGGCATCTGGCCATAAGGTTAGGACAGCTCTTGTAGAGTTCCGCCGGAAGACCGTCCTCGCCAGCAGCTTTCTAATTTTTAAGTCTTTTGATGACATCACGTATTTCTTCTTCCGTTGGAGAATCGCAGTTGGCATCATACTCGGGGGCGTTTGTTAGGGTACTAGGGGGGACGTTGAGAGGTAGGGTCATGGTTCAGCAAGGTTTCGAAATGCTGCTTCTAACGGATTGTGCGTTCCATTCGTGTCCATCAGCACTTCGCTTAGCTTGCTGTTTCCCTTAGTTGCCGTTTTAAGAGTCTGGTATAGTTTTCGGGAATCTCCTACTGATGCCGCTTGCTCCATGATTTCAGCGACGTTTCGCCAGTAAGTATTGAGATCAGCCTTCGCAGAGCGAGCAGTCTCACGGCGCAATCGGTGGATGTCGTCGTTCTCGGAGCAACGGGCTCGTTTAGTTTGGTTTGCGAGCTCAATAGTGCGGCCAGAGATCCAGTCCTTCGCCCGCCGTCTGGTTTTACCCAGGGTCTGCGAGGCAACTTCGTTTACGCTGCTTTTGAATAACTGCCAGGACTCCTCAGCTGAGTACTCAATGGGATGAAGTGCTTGAAAACCGGCAAAGCGATTTGATAACCGGAGCTGGAACTCGGCTCTAGTTTGCTGGCATCCGAGTCGCGAGATATCGTATTTCACAGGGCGGTTAGATGGTAGGTTGGCTCTCATGCGAAGGCGCATCTTTGAACGAACCAAGACATTGTCGGAGCCATGCTCATTGCCTGTTTCGGCTCCCCGGAATGCGAGACAGTCCAGGACACTCATGCGTCATGATGGCTTTCCGTCCAAGCTTCTCAACCTTATCAAGGCCTACTACGCTCAGACTCGAACTAGAGTGAGGTGCTACGGGGAAGAATCCGATTCCTTCGTCGTCCGAACGGGCGTCCGCCAGGGATGTTTGCTCTCCCCCATCCTGTTCAGCTACATTATTGCCTGGATCCTGGAGAATAGCATGGTTGGCCTCGAGGGTGTCAGAGTTGGCCACGACTGCAACATCACTGATTTCGATTATGTCGACGACGTTGCAATCCTTAGCGAGTCCTACGTGGAGGTCCAGCATGCACTCGACGAGGTCAGTCGCATGGTCAAAATGGTGGGGATGAAAATTAACGCTTCCAAGACGAAAATTTTCTCTGCGAACTTCTCCCTATCTGATCGAGTGGCTGTAACCCTTGATGGTGAAGCTGTGGAAGAGGTCGAAAGCTTCAAATATCTTGGCGCCAATTTTACAGCCACTGGTCAAGCGAAGGACGAAATCCCCACCCGTATAAATTTGTCTAGAGCTGCCTTTGTGCGTCTTCAAAAACGACTTTGGTCGCGCCAGGAGATAAGACGATCCACGAAGTTGCGAATCTACGAAGCTATGGTCAGAACAATTCTTCTCTATGGTTGTGAGACCTAGCCACTGCGCAGAGAGGATCTTCATAAGCTTGAGGTCTTCGATCACTACTGCCTCCGCCGTATCCTGTGTGTGCGCCTCTCCGACCGGATCCCCAACTCGTCCATCCGCGCCAGATGCAACATTCTGGGCCTGGAAGAAACTCTGCTTAACAGGAGACTCCGGTGGTTCGGTCACGTGCTGCGGCGGCCTGGTGATGAGTTCGTCCGTAAACCGGTGGCGCCAAACGCACCCACTGGTTTGAAGAAGCGCCGAGGTGGTCAACTCAAGACGTGGCTCGCAACGGTCAAAGCAGATATGGAACTCATGTCCGGTCCTTGCGTTTTCGGGGTCCGACGGTGGAATCACGAATGGCTCGATCGACGGGGGCGGATGGCCTTAACGCGCGATGCGGTTAATTCAATTGGAGCCGGCTCAACCCACCCCGGGTGAATGCCGTTACAAGACAAGACAAAACGTTATACAATCCGACAATAGGTCAAAATTTACTTATAAAAGTTATATTAATATCCCATATTTTAATATACCTTTCTACTTATATCTTAAATTCTAAATTAAAACCTATTGTTTAAAAAATATATATATACAAATAATCTCAAAACCTTAATTTATTTATTTACAAAACACTTTCATTGATGAAAACGAAATTAGTAGAGATAATTCCAGTCTAAATATATGTAATTCAGCACTGGCTTGGTCTTAAAGTAACCAAATACATTTCCAATTACTACTATAACCACCGTTTGAACTTCTCCTTTCTTCCTCTTTCACTTTCCCACCTTTCCTCCCCAACCCCCACTCTTGGAAGGCTTGCAAATGCTGTGCCTAAACCCTTGACCGTTGTTGCCGAAAATAAATTTTTCGGGTCTAGACATCACTTTAACATCTCAACCATCCTTCAAGAAACTCTTATCAACAAGCACATGTTTTATTCATTTGTTTATTTTATAAAACAAATGGAAATAAAAAAAGGAAGTGATGTTTCACATGCGGCTTGCTTATAAACAGAATAGTTCATAACCATTTTAGTTCACACCAGTCGAAGTGCAATTAAATGCACCGAAACGAAGTTGCATCTTTGTAGTGAGTAAATTGTTTTTGTCTATATGAAAAAAATATAATAAATAATTATTGCTCTACTATCGACAATGAGCCCTCTTTAGAATTAATGCTGTGAACGTTAGAATTTATATATTATTTTCGTTCTCATTACATCTGTATATATATATATATATATATATATATATATATATATATATATATATATATATATAGTAGCATTACAGAATTCTATTAAATTCAACTGAAAAGGTGTGTATGTTTAATTAGGTATTGTACTTTTCAAAATTCCGAATAAGTTATTGCATATTCGAATCAAAATTTTGGAGAAATAGTCCAAAGGTCATGTTTTTCTCCTGTTTTTATTTCTTCGACCTTGCAGTCAATATCAGTATTAAACATTGCCAATAACATATACAAGTGATTGTGAGCTTCATTCAACACTTCTTTTGAAAACCATCGTGTTTTCTAGATCTTTTCCGAATCATTATCCACAGCCCTGTCTACATCAGAAGCTAAAATTATTCTAAAACAAATGCTACGTCGAAGCTTTTTTTTTATTTTCGACTTAAGTGAATCCTCTTTAGGGATGTGAAAACTGAAGAAAAGAAAATCAAAAGTATTTCAAGTAGCTCTTTTTTAAAAGTGTCCTTTTATTTTGTACTTTGAAACTATTAGTCATGGAAGTATTCACTTTTAATACGCGCACCCCCCATATATATATATATATATATATATATATATATATATATATATATATATATATATATAATGAGAGAAAGAACAAATGGAGTAAAATTTCACTTTTCTTAGCATTTATTTTTAAAAATTGCTCAATACAAAGTAGAGCAATATATTATAATTAGTTGTGTATCGATTTCAACATGTTTTTATTATAAGAGATTATAATAAAAACATGTTGAAATTTCTACACAAAGGCTTTCATATTGTCAATACTTTGAAGCGATGGTGAGTAACTGCTGATTAAATGATTTTTAAGAAAATTTAAAAACAAAGTGTTACCTCTTTTCCCGAAAGTTAAATTTCAAATAACTCCCCCACCTCTACCCTCTGAGCTTACTTTCCTATTGATCGTAGATCTGGCATTTAATTAGTTAATCAAGATATACCCACATTTCTATTTTAATTCTGACCTTATGTTTCCCCCCGCCTTAAATCAAAGTATTGAAACATGAAAGCTTTTGTGTAGCGATTTCAACATGATAATCTCTTCCAATAAAAAGTAATATATATATATATATATATATATATATATATATATATATATATGAACCTAAAGAGCCACGTAAACCTACCTAGGATTCACCTATACGGATCGTCAGGGTCAACTGGCCAACGAGGTAATTGTGGAACAGAATATGAAAGCAACCATGAACACGTGACTAAAAAAAAAACCCAAGGAAAACCGTAACTTAACAACGGGGGGGTATGTTTTTATTCAATAACGGAACAAAAAAAAAACTATTTTAATAACTAGCGTTTTCTGTCTACACCTACTAAGGATTTCAATTTTTAGATTTAATAGATTATTGTTTTTTTTACACATAGCAATATTTTTTAGACTACTTAAAGAGAATTTCCCACAATCTAATAGGTTGCATAAAATCTTTAATAAAAACTACGTCAAATTAAACTATAGTTATATGCCTAATGTGTCCAGTTTAATTAATAGATTTAATATGAGAAAAATTAAGGACAAACCACGTGCGACCACCCGCCCAAGTGTAATTGTAGGAAAAATGAAGCCTACCCCCCTCCATGGACAAGTACCAAAAAGAGAGCGTGGTATACCAAGTAGAAATATATAAGGATAAACCAAATAATACTGATAAAAATCCTAAGGTCTATATAGTATCTAAACAAAATAATTTTAAAGCGTGATACTATAACCACCTTAGTAGTTCAAATAACGAAGCATACAAAACATAGCACCACTTTATCCACTTAGGTATGGACAAACAAGAGGATAATAAAGACGCCATTTTGAAATGGGAAATATTAAAAAAATGTCACAGGTATGCTAGATAAAATGTTCTCACGTGGAATTTTTTAAGCCGTTCGTTTCTCCTCGTGGTTTAAAATTTTATTAAAGCAAGTTCCCCAAGCCCACTGTTAGTGGGGAGGTAGGAATGGTCGCTGACCTTCCCTCCAACACTGCGTTCACTGAAACATGATGCTTGGGCACTGAGATAGGGTTGGCTGTACACTCACTGGCGACCATCAGAATGCATGCGGACAATCACTTTCTGCCATGTGTAAGTATAATTTCGTTCTACCAGAGACGCATCCAAAAGCATCTTTTTCTTTCTCTCTCTCTCTCTCTCTCTATCTATCTATCTATCTATCTATCTCCCTCTCTATCTATATATATGTATATATTTGCCAACGTATTCGTGTATTTATTTATGTATTTATTTTATTTATTTATCTATTTTATTTTCTCTCTCCCTCCACTCTGTCCGACTAATTTAACATTGATTCTTGGTCTAACCATTCTAACCTAACTTATAACACTATATGTTTGTGTAGTTAGAAATCCCCCCCTCGAAAGAAGGGAAATAATGTCTCTTCATCAGGCGTTTGTTTGTCTTCAGTATTCTTATGGTCCAGTGGCCTTGTCTTTGGCTAGATAAAATGTTCTAACGTCGAACACTCACTGGTGACCATCAGAATGCATGCGGACTACCAATATCACCCACTGCCACAAGTGAGCTAGCCATATCCGCAAAAAGGTGGATAATCATATTTTTTCATTTCTTTCTTTAGAATAGAGCAATGGGACTTATACTAAGTTAAAACTTAGTGTTGTGTAAGGATAAAATACTAATAAATTCCATCCTATCCCCCTGAACATACAACTAGTGTCAGCCTGGGCACTATGCGAACTACTTCCCCGCCCTTATCCCTCTGTTTGTCTTTTGTCGTTGTTGTATGTGTTATATGTAATAGGAGTAGATAGACCCTCCTACCGCCCGGTCAACACACCTCCCACTTTTCCTAGACATGAGTAGAGGCTCACACCTTGTTTCTAGGAAGGGGTTCCCGGAACTCTTTCTCTCTCTCTCTCTCTCTGGCCTCTGTACTAGTGCTGCAGTATTTCACCTGTGACGTGTGCAGTCTGTGGCATTGCCTCTTCATTTTGAGGGTACACGGTTGACAGTTCACTGGTTTCTGTTTCCGACTGGTAGTTAGGAGCCCTAACTCTTGCGTAGCGTCTTGAGCGGCCGCTCTGATCAACAGTTGTATAATACCGGGGTGTTTGTAGTGCCATGACACGCATGGAAAGGTGTCCCTGCAGTCACCTCCGGTGGGCAACCCTGAGGCCACATTATGATGCAGGCTGTGCCAACTCCTCTTTGCTCATGTTGCGGTCGATAACCATCTGCTTCTCTTACTTCAGGCCTTCTCATCTTCCAACCATTACTCCACATGACTCAAAAAAACAAACAAAAAAAAAGTAAACCTAAACCATCCCTCAAAAATCACCTAAACCCCTCAACATTTCGTTCTCCAACATCCGTAAGCTATCTCTTCTTCCTTTATCGCTCTCCATCCTCTCAAGACTGTGGGATACTCGATAGCATATCTGACAGCATAGACAAGACCTCTCTCTCCATCCGTTTGCTCACATATTCGTGTTTGGTGACTTTAATGCCCATCATACCCAGTGGCTCGAGAATGCTACTACTGACCGGGCAGCCATTCAAACATTTAATTTCTCAATTTCTTAATCCCTCACGCAGATAGTTAACTTCCACCACGCGTTTTGCCCTCAACCTGGAAGGTAACGCCTCGATCTGTGTTTTACCTCCATCCCCAAATCTTGTAGCGCCACGCAGCTCTGCTCTCTTGGTAACCTGATCATGCTTTAGTATCTGTTAACATTTCCTTCAACTCTACTCCCCGCAAAGAACCTCCTATCACTAGAACCTCGTTCTACTATCAACGAGTGGATTGGGACTCGTTCCGTGACTTCCTCCGCGATGTCCCCTGGGATGTTGTCTTTACATTCCCTGTCCAAGAATGTGCTTCTGAGGTCTCATCCTGGGTTAAAGCTGGAATCGACGCTTTCATCCCCTCAAGGAAATTTAAGGTCAAGTCGCACTCCTCCCTTTGCTTCTCCGCTGCTTGCTCAGCCGCCATCGCCTATAGGAACCACATCTTTCACCTATTTCGTAGCGACATGTCGAACTGCAATAGATGTCTTTTTGCCTCCGCCTGTAACGAGTGTAAGCGAGTCTTCAACGAAGCTAAGTCAATATTTGCTGCTCGGATGAAGGGGCGTATTGCATCTCGCAAATTTGGCTCCAAAGATTATTGGCGGGTCTGCAAGAGCGTCCTGAACAATAGAAAACCCTCTATACATCCTTTATTCAAACAGTTCGAGGTCCTGACATCCTCTACCGACAAGGCTGAATGCTTTGCTCGGAAATTCTCATTTAATTCAACGCTCGACTCCTCAGGTGTACCCATACCCGACTTCCCTCTAAGAACTGAGGCCCTATTGAGCGGGTTACACATAACCCCGTCATTCGTATTGGGCATTATCTCCAATTTAGACCCCCTACAAGGCTAGTGGTGGAGATGGCATACCAGCCATTGTTTTGAAGAAATGCGCGCCTGAACTAGCGCCCGCACTCTCTAAACTATGTAAATACTGTTTTCCTGACTGCTGGAACTCCTCATCCATTGTTCCTGTCTTTAAGAACTCTCGAAACCCCTCTGACCCCTCTAATTACCGTCCTATTACCTCCTACTCCTCTTCGGCAAAGTCTTCGAAGCCCTAATCAACGCCGAAGTGGTTAACCACCTTACCTCACATGACCTGCTCTCAGACAAGCAATATGGTTTTCCGCTACGCCCGATCTACAGCTGATGTGCTTCCGGCCATCACTGAAACCGTCTACTAAGTCCTTCAAAATAACGGTGAGGCTCGTGCCGTGTCCCTAAACATCTCCAAAGCGTTTGATAGGGTTTGGCATGCCGGCCTTCTTCACAAGCTCCAGGATTATGGAATTACAGATCGATTGTTTGACCTAATACAATCATTCCTGTCAAACCGTGAATTGAAGGTCGTTCTCAACGGATTCTCCTCCAGTTCCTATCCCACGAACGCAGGTGTTCCCCAAGGCTCCATTCTTGGCCCCACTCTATTCCTTATTTTCATCAACGACCTTCCTGACGCCATAGATTCCCAAGTTGGCATCTACGCGGACGACACTACAATTTACTCCTGCCTCAAAAACAAATCTAGTGTCGCTGACAAAACTAACCTGGCCGCTCGTCTTGAAATGGACCTCCAATCGGTTGTTAATTGGGGCAAGAATTGGCTGGTCAACTTTAACGCCTCAAAAACTAAACTGCTCTCTATTAATCACCATAGAGATCCTCCCCTTCCCTTATTAGAATGTCTGATGCTCAACTTCTTGAGAGCAACTCTCTGCGTCTGCTCGGTCTCACGTTGACTGATGACCTGAGATGGAACAAATACATTGTGTCAATTGCTTCGTCCACCGCAAGGAAAGTTGGCTCTCTGTGCCGCACCAAGAAATTTTTCTCCCCGGAATCGATACTTCAAATATACAAATCAACCATTCGCCATTACATGGAGTATTGCTGCCATATATGGTCTGGTGCACCTTCTGTTTACCTCGAAGTTCTCGACAAGATCCAGAGGCGGATATGTAATATAATTGGCCCTGATCTGGCATCTCGTCTACAGTTGCTCTCTCACAGACGCGCAGTCGCCTCTCTCTGTCTTTTTTTTACAAATCCTTTTTATGGTAATTTCTGCGATGAGCTGTTTTCACTGGTTCCCAGACTTCATGAATTCAAGCGCCATATGAGGCTGGCATCCTGCTCTCACCTTTTCACTGTAGAAACTTTTAAATGTAGCCGTCTCTTCTACTCCAATAACTTCATATCTCGCATCCTGGAGGTCTAATTTCCCGTATGAAGGGTTATAATTTTGAGTTTTTTCAGTGTCGGTAATCCAGTTTCAGAGGGAGTAGGGCTTTAATCTGCATTTAGTCCTAGGGGCTTCAATCGACATTTCCCTCTGGCCCTGCCATCAACCTGCCATTCCCCATCTCCTTTTTTTCAACTGCACTTGCAGTGGAAGAAAGAGTGGGGGCTTTGGTGATGGCCTCAATCGGGGTTTGAACACTCCGGTCCCGGAAGCCGCTATGCCCATTACAGGCGAGGCGGTTTTAAAGACTCGGTCAGAGAGGGAGTTTGGTCGACTGGGGCCTGAAAAAGAGGCCTTCCTCTCTGGACGGGAAAAAGGTGACCAGTCTCTCCGCACTTCCAACAAACTGGTTTACGGCCAGTCATGACCGGCAGAGGCCACCAACATCAAGACAGTTGAGGATGCAGACGAAAAATCAATAATTTCCATCCCAAAGGCTATAAAAGCACCCAAATTTCGCTGCTGGGATAAGGAAGCTGCCAAGTGCACCCTCATATCTTGGGAGGGGACCTCATATACTGCTACATTTGGTTCTTCGCCGGCCTTCGTACTCTGTACGGTGAATTAAATCCTTAGTGAGGTGGGTAACAGCACGCCCAAAATGAAAAAGCCCTTTTTATTCGAAGTGGCTTAAACCCCAGGGACTCCAGTGTTTTCACCACTGGTTTTTTTCTAACGACAAATTTTGCGAGAACGCTTGTCGACGACAAAAACGGACATTTTCTCGGTTTTCTTAAATTCGATTGAATCCTCCAAGGGCCCACCTTCTACCACAAGGTGGAAACAAGGGGCGATTCCCCGGTTTGCATTCTCACTTGACTTTTCTTCTTCCTGGTCATTATTAGCTTCTATGTTTAGGCACTTTTTAGCCTCAGATTTAGAACTTTTTTTAAGTCATCTATAATTTCATCATTTGTTGGAATACTCGATAAGACTGGGTACTCCTCTAAACAGTTCTTTTCAGTTGGATCTTTCTTTGGATTGAAGAAATGCTTCCTAATAGGTCTCTTGAAAGTCGCATTTAGGTTCTTTTTTCAAAACTAAGAAAGAATGTACTTTTTTTCCTTCTTTTTCCATTTTTCAAGGGAAGGGGATGGGCAAAAAAGGAAAAATTATAAGTTCCGCCTTATAGGCGAAACTAAAAATTCAGAAAAAAATAAAACAGACAAAAAACAGCAACAACAAAAATAAAAAGAAAAAAAAAAACAAAGCTTTTCCAAAGCGAGACAGCAAGTAAAAAAAGTACAAAAACAAGGAACAAATAAATTTATACAAAAGGTTTTACAAAATCAAATGACGATATAGAACAAATGAAACAAGTTTCATTTAAAATGTACAATTTAGACGAAAAATAAAGAACAAAGTTCGCCTTATAGCGAAACAATAAATTTAAAAGGAACACACAAAAAATGAAAATAAACAATAAAACGAAAACGCTAGACAATTTAAACAAAAGAAAAACGAAAATTTCTTACAACAATAGACTGAGCTAATCAAAAACGAAATGGCTGACGCTACGAAAGCATTCAACCCGATAGACAAATAAACTAAAAGAAAAAAACAAATTAGACAATACAAGAATTAGAACAAATATGGCCATTAAAAATTTTAAAAAAAAACACGGAAGACTTAAAGGATATTAAAAGGAAAAGAAACAAATAAAGAAAAATACAAAGAAGAAATTAAGTCAGTCGTAAAAAATAAACTGAAACACTGGCTGGGGTTACAAAATAAAAACGAAAATATATTTAAAAGAGAAATTAAAGAAAATGAAAATCAAAAAAGAAGACTAAAATAAAAGAAAAAGAGAAAGAAAATAAAGGGGTAAAAAGTAAAAAATGGGGAGAGTAAAAAAAGGAAAAGAAAAAATCAAAATCTTTTTCAAAACAATCGTAAAAAAAGACGGTAATAAAATCAGAGTAAAAAAAAGTGTACTTTAAACAAAAAGCGTAAAGTCCAAAAAACTGTCGGGCGGCAAACACCAGTCAGAAAAGGTCAGAAAGAGTCCACCAAAAAGACTTAGTTACTGACTCGGGTTGAGGTTCTGACATTATTTGTTGTAATAAATACAATTATGGTCGATGAAAGGGAGGGGATGAGGCTGGTCTTCACTAAATA